TGTTGGACCAATAGAGCAACTCAATTCTTAAGTTTTCAGACATGCTTCGTTCAAATTGTTTCGTACCAACTTCTCGCTCATTGCATTCAATCGATGTAAATCAAGCGAACAATTAATTTTCATCGGTTATCATGCCGAAGAATTTTCGATGCAGTGAAGCTCGATCAATCTTAGAGGTTTAATTTGAATCTTCACATAAGTTTAAATTTCAGGCAACCTGAGCAGCAGACAAGACAAATATTGATCGAAAGTAGCTTTTTATTTGAGTTAGTAACGATTGTTTGTCAAAAAATTCGGCCTCTTGTCTTTTCCACGAGGGCATTGTTGATATTTACCTCTAACTGCGTGACAAGGAATGGCGTGGTTTGACCTTGTGCCACTTTTGTCTGGCTCCCTAAAATTTCGCAGCTCAAGCAGCCAAAAAATTTTATTGCAGTTATTTGAAGAAGAAATTCTGTTCTCTCGCTGGATTAACTTTAAGTAACTCCATGCCATGTACCAAGGTGCTCCTTTACCGGCTCAATTCTGCCATTTTTTTGTCCGCCGAAATGAGTGAAATAATGAAGAAATACAAAAATCGCCCAAAAATGAAGCTTGAGATGGAATCGGAAAAATATCATTCCAGACTGTTCGTAAATAAGCAAACTTCCCTCTCAATCAACATCTCATACTCATAGAAGTTCAGACAGAAACGAAGCACCGGTCAGGCAGGATCTCTGACAAATACCTTGCTTAACTTTCAAAATAACGTCTGTAAGGCAGCGCAACTTTCACCTCCACAGACAGTGTTGATAAAATTAAGTGTTGAGGACCCACCCTCTGTGCGGCTTTGGCTGGAATGCATAGGCACGTGACCAGCCGCAACCAGGGTACTTCTTCGAGGTAGAGAGGACTCTGCGAACAAGGTTGCCGGTCAGGGTATTAAATAGACTAACTGACCGGCAGCCTTGCATGCGGCTGGCGCGCGTGAAATTTGAATTGACCAATCAGGATTCAGCAGACGGGAAAACTTTACTGTCCTGACGTCAATGTAAGTTAACAGGAAAGGCATTGAAGTCAGGTATCTTTTGTCACTGGAGATTTAAAATTCCGAAAACCTTATCCGATCATAAAAAGTGAAAAATATGACACATTTTGTGTCTCCATGCTTCTAATTTGGCGCCAAAAATGGGTCGCCGGCGTCCAGCATGGCAATTCGCTCGTAGATCGTCGAGTGTCGCCAGGTAGGATAATTGTTGTCTTAGAGGCCAAAGCAACTTTAGCATTGTCTTTATTTTTGTTAGCTGCGAAAAAACAGGCTATCATCGTGTCGTTTCGGTAGGACAGCTCAGTTTTGACTGCCGCTCGTACTGCGGGCTCAGCCGCCTTATGCAAGGCAGTGAGACTTAAAGCAAACCCCCAAATCGATTTTGTCGCCGTTCGTGTAAAATAAAAGTGCAATCAAACGTTAAGTATTTTTCTAGAAGTAGTTCATTCAGACCGATATTCTGGCAAAGTTTGTGGATTTTCTATTTTTTTCATTTTGCACACCTCGAGGCGAAATTATATCGGGACGATTGCTCTTAAAACCATTACATAACTTGACAATTCGCGTTATTCAGGCATTAAACTGCAATCAATATTTGTCAAAGTAAAACACAACAAAACTCCAGAAGTGTATTTTACACACCGTGTATCATCAGCTCCATCACTGTAAAGGCGGGTTCTCGGGTTAGTACATACACCCAATATTCTTGTGATCAAACATCTTCCTTGGTGCTGCCTCGCTGAGAAATTTTATTTATTTATTTATTTATTTACTCAAATTCAATTACACAGATGATCAAAACAAAAACAAAAACAAAG